GGGCGGGGTGGTGGGGGGGAGAGGGGACGAGCGTCAATGCTTCCCGCACGAGGGGAAGGGATGAGCGTGAAGGGGGCCTCCACTTGCCTGCAGCTGGGCTGCCGCTGCGCCGTCAGCGCGCCCGCACTGCGAGCGAGTGTGGCGTGGTCGGTCGGGGAGCAGCGCCGCTGCAGGGGGGTGCATGCGGGGGGCGAGCGCTGCGGGCCGCGCACCGTGGCGGACAGCAGTGTGGCCAGTTTGCCCTCGGCGTCGGCCGCAGCCTGCTGGTATTCCTGGATCTGCGATGGAGATGTGCCACGATACAGGAGGAGAGGTCGCGTGAAGGTATGTTCATGTTGCGCGAGAGCAGGGGCACAGGTTTGGGCGTGCAAGGCCGTGGCCGGCTTAAGAGCGCAAAGCGCAAGAGAAGCTCGAAGCAGGTGCAGCCGCGCCCTGGTCTGCGCCCGGCCCTCTGCGATCGCTGGTGCAATTGCCACCCGCCTGCCCGCATTCGAAACCCCCTCGCGCCAACCAGATGCATTGTAAACAATTGCACACTGGGCAGCAGAGCACCCAACCTTGGCGTTCATATTGGACACCTCCCCCCTGCCGACAACAATGCGCTGCACAAGCTGCTGCTGCGCGTCTGGCGATCCGCCCGCTCCCCGCGCCGCGCTGCGCCTGCCGCTGCCGGGCGCCGAGACGCGGCGCTGTGGCCCTGGTGCCACTGCTCTGCCGCTGGGGCCGCTGCGCCGCCGCGCGCCGCCATTTGTGCTGGGCCCGCCGCCGCCGCCCTGAGTGGGTGACACGTCAGTTTCAAGCTGCTGCTCCTTCCGTGCTGCCTTGGCAGGCGCAGACTTGGGGGACACTGAGATTGTCATGAAAGCGGTATGGCAATTTAATAGCTGTTTGGCGTCGCTGACAGCCGGGTGGTGGGGGGGGGGGCGCCATGCAGGCATGCAGACGCGCAATTCGAAGGGAAGCGCGCCCAGCGTCGCCTCACCGCGCTGCCGCTTGCCAGACGCCCTCTTGGCTGCCTTGCGCGCGTCTTCCTCAGAGTCTACCTCCTCATGGACTAGGACGTCGTCCTCGCCTTCAGCCGAATAAAACGGCCCGTCCGAGTCCGGCACCTCTTCTGAGGGACGCCGTGCTTTGCGCTTGTGGCGTTGCTGAACACTCATATGTGCTGTTGCTACACAGCAAAGATTCACAGCGAGGTGTTTCCGGGCCTAAGCGATCTCGCGCCTGATGATCTGACGTGTGCAGTGGATCTGAGCTAGCATTCAACTTTGCGGAATCGATCTTCAAATGAAGTCGTGCAGTTTTGATCGTCAGACAATCAGTGTTGCAGTCACGGGCCCAGTCTGTGTCGAATATCATACAGCGTGGTGACAACTGACAGATCGTCTGGCCTCCCGACAAGGGGGAAAGCAGCGCCCGCGTAACCGGCGCATGATAGAACCATGAGTACCGTCGGGAAGGTTAGCACACATTGGAAGGACGCATGTGGTGACGGCGCGGCCGAGCGCCTCGAGTACCGCACACACCGCTCGCGCTGCGCGCGCTTCGCCGAGCCGCCTCATCGCGGTCACGCGTGGCCGCCGCGCCGCCGCCCCCTGTGCAACAGGAGCTGCAGCTGGTGGTGCTGGATGTGGGCCCCGACATGCACCCTTATCTTTCGGAGGCGGCCCGCAACCTGTTCAACCTCGCGACAGCCCGGGTGCGGCGTCTTGCAACAGTGCATGCAGCTGCCACCAGCTGCCGTTGCACGCGGGCGAGCTGCCAGTGTTGACGCCTGAACACCTCGTTCTGTGCATGGCTTAGCAGCGCAGCTTAGTGTAGGTATGCGGCGGCCAGACGCTAGCCTAAGCCGCGTCACTGGCATGTGTGCCCGTGAAGCAGCCGCCTGAAGCCATTGCATGCTATGTGGCATGCGGTTGCGGGTGGGATCAGCAGCATGGGGGCGTCCTTCCGCAGCTGCCTCTCACCCCACCAAACACACAAGCGATTGCTACTGCCAAACCCATCATTGCAGCTGCTCAACAAGCCCTCCATGGAGATGGCGCTCATCTTCTACGGCACAACGGGTGGGCATTCGCCGGCACGCGCCGGCTGCAAAGCACACTCCCCTTTGCGCTCGCAGCGGCCGTCGCAGCAGCCCCCACTCATGACCTCATCGCTGCCTGCAGCCGTGCTTTTGCACTGCAACAGCCGGATGAACGCGTTGCCTGTGCAGCACCCAGCTGTGATTGTCGCTCCTCTCCCCCTGTTGCGTTCACGACTGCCTAGGTCCACCACCACCACCACCACCACCACCACCACCACCACCACCACCACCAGCGAGCCGCCTTCCTCACCGTCCACACATTGCATAACGCACACCCCCAGAGACCGACAACGCCCTCAACAGGGAGATGCTGGCTGAGGGGGAGGAGGGCCAGTACACCAACATAGTGGTGGCCCAGGAGCTGCAGTGCGTGTCGACGGCCCTCATGGCCGCGCTCAGGGACGAGGCCGTGCCGCGCGGCGCGGGGCCCAGCGACTGGGTCAACGCGGTGCTGGTGGGTGGCGGCTGGCTTGGGGGTTTTCGGCTGCGGCCGCATGCTGGCCGACGGGGGCGGTTCGTGTGGCGCGCCGACTGCAGCCGGTTGTGGGCGAGTAGGCTTCGCTTGGCCTGGTGCTGACGGGGCAGCTGCTGTGCAGCCGCAAACAGGCACGCCATACAGCGGCCCCTTCCCAGCTTCCACAATCGCAGGCAGCAGACCTTTTCGGGCCGATTGCCACCTACGCATGGCCCCACCCTTTCACATCTGGACGCTCGCACACCCGCCCACCTGCGCGCCCGCACGCCCTTCACCCTGCTCCCCTACTGCCGCGCCCCTGCCCCCAGCTGGCCATCGACATGCTACTCAAGGCCGACAAGAAGTTCAACCTGGCCAAGTACCCGCGCAAGCTCTTCCTCATATCAACGTTCACAGACGTGCGACGCTCGGGCAGCCCGCGCCGGCGGGCAAAGCCGCGGATAACCCGCGCGCTTTGCATCGCACAACCCCCATGTTTTGTATCGTAAGCGGTGCCAGGCCACCGGGGCTTGGCTCCCGAAAATGGGACGCACCATGCACTGAATCGAATGCTCATGACCTTCGCACCTGCAAATCACCCCAACATCCCCCCTCGCCCCCAAAAACAAACACTCGTTGCAGCCGGTGGACCTTGACCCCGAGTTCCGCGCCAACATCGTGGAGTCGCTGCGGCGCACCCGCATGGCTCTGGAGGTGGTGGCCGTGGGGGAGGAGCCCTGGAGGGCACCCGGCGGCGGCGAGGACGGGCAGGGGCTCACGCTGGAGGTGGAGGGCAAAATAGGTGATTTATAAGAGGGGGCGCGTTGGGTTGGGCGTGATGTTGCTTGGAAAAGCTGCGGCGCAGCTGCTGCGGGCCTGCGTCGTGCCTGATGGGGCGCTGATTGTCACCTAGAGGGTTCCCGAGCTGGGCACGGATGCCGGGCTTCCTCTAGATGCGGCACTGCGCATGCTTTCTCGTTGCGGGCTGTGCAGCCCAGAAAAGGTTTGCACGATGTGTGACATGTTCCCACTGCCCAGCCCGAGGCTCCCCATTTGAGCGCCTCTGCACGCCCTGCATGACAACACTGCGGGCCCGAAACCGCTCACGGCCCGGCTCCTCGCCCCGCCCCCCACCAGCCGCGCGCGACGCCAACATGGAGGCGCTGTCGGAGCTGATGAGTGACGTCACCGGCAGCATACGGCTGGCGCCCACGCCCAAGGAGGTCGCCGGTATGTTCCAGGTGAGCCTAGGCCCACGCCCATTAAGACGCTCCTCCTCAACACACATATACTCACACTCACACACACACACATGCACACACACGCGCGCACACACACACACGCGCGCGCGCTGCTGCCAACACACATCGCCTCACCATGCGTGTTGGCATCTTGTTGAGATGTGAACCTGAGATAGAATAGAAGTCCCACAAGAAGTTGATGTTTTGGCGGTCAGCACTAGTGGCCCCACAATCCTGAGAGTCTCCTGAGTCCACACCCTCCACATTCTGAGCTGCTGAATATGTGCTGCCACTACCCCACAATCGTGTACTTATGTACTCGCACCCCCCGGTGAACTGCCACGTGTACTAATGACCGTACCCTCCGACCCCTGCCCCTTCACCCCTGCACTACAGGCGGTGCACAAGGAGGGCAACGCCGCCTACTCGGGGCCATTCACGCTCGGCACCAAACACATCAACGTGCGCAGTGCAGGCGCGCGCCCCGGACCTCTTTTACGGTCCGCCCACGTCCAGCACCGGGCGGCTGGCGGGCGTGGTGGCTGCGGGGGCGGCGACCGCGCTGAGGGCCGCAGCGCGCGTCAACAGGCGTCACGACACCGCTGTTGCGGGTGCTGCTAAGATTGTTTCACTGCTCGTGTGCACGGGGACTTCTCCCGGCCCCTGAGCTCAATCAGGATTTTGGGGTTTACCATCAGGGTTTGGGTTTTATCATCCGGGTTTGGGTTTCATCAGGGCTTAACCATCGAGCTTCAGGGTATAGATGTTTCATGTCTGCATGCGTGCAGGCCGTGGCCGATTGCTGGTGGCCACCCACCCGCCCGCGGCCCCCAGGTCAAGGTCTACAAGAAGACCAATCCCGAGCCCGTCACCTACAACTCCTCCAGCTGGGAGCTCAAGCGCTACTGCGCGCCAAAGCCCAACCAGGCACGCATGCAAAGGCCCGTGACGGCCCCATGCCCCCCAAGCCTGACGACCCGTTCTCCCCACCGCCGACTCCACCCCGGAACCGTTCACGCCTGTGTGAGAGTCGCCGCCCGCCTGCCCCGCCCTTGCTCTCCCGCGCACGCTCTCACACGCGCTGCTGCGCCGCCATCTGCAGCCCGACGACGAGTGCTGGGTGGGCGTCAGCAGGGAGCTGCGCGCTGCGAACGACCTGGACGGCACCGTGGTGGGCTCCATGGACACTCTGCCCGCGTACAAGTGAGGGCGCGCCGAGGCCGGGGCCGGGGCCGGGGCCGCCTGACACTCAGCCCGGCATGCTCCTGCCGTTTGCGAGGGGTCAACTGGCAGCAGCAGGCGGCACCGATAATTGCAAGCTCTCTGATGTCACCCTGTATCGACCTCTGACTAGCAAACCGGCCTAACCTAAACCAACCTTAAAGCTCAGACTCGCGTCATCCAACGCCTGCTGGGCTCGCCCTTGATTCACACAGTTTCCCCCGCCTGCTGCTAGCATTCCCACAAGGCACGCCGTTAGACCAACCCCACCGCCGCCCCAACCCTCCCATACCCCCAAACCAACCCTCAGGTACGGCAAGGAGTGCATCCCCGTGCACGAGGATGAGGAGGAGCTGCTGGGCTACCACCCTGAGAAGGGCATGGCGCTGCTGGGCTTTGTGGACGCAGAGGGGGACGGCGCGGTGCCCTTGTGAGCGGGCGGCTGCTTTCGTGCAAGGGGCGCCTGGCCGGGGCCTGGGCGCCGCTGGCAGGGTACTGGGGTAGGGCTGTCAGGCAAGGGTGGGGGGCGCGAGGAGATTGAGCAGAGCCCTGAAGTCAAGTCTCCAGGTGCTGCGTCCTCGGTGGACGGGCCTGCATGAGCTCAAGTCACAGCCTCAAGCGAGAGCGAGTGGAACTGGCGTTCTTGGCCTGCGGGCTTGCAAACATGTGCGGCGACGCAGTGGGTGCTGATGTCCACCCTCGGCTGTCCATCTCTGCACGCACCCCGCCAGCTACTACCTGGGCTGCAGCCAGACCAAGGGCTGCTTCGTGGTGCTGGGGGACAAGGAGGGCGACGCCGTCGCAGTGTCGGCGCTGGCGCGCGCCATGGCGCGCACCAAGAGGAGCGCAGGTGGGGGCGGGGCGCCGGCAGCGCCGGCGGCAGCAGGGCCGGGCCCGCGGGCCGCTGTCCCCGGTAGAACATGCTCCCAACTTTCATCTCAGGGCCCTGCATCAACAAATCCTGGATTTCATAGTGGCAGGCCACCTGCTTGACAGACCGACAGGTGGGGCGGACAATCGCCTTCGGATCGCCGAGCATCAGACCAACAACCAAGTAGCTTGTTGCTCCAATGGTTTCGCCCGGCGCCTCAGCCCCCGCACGCTCGCCGCCTCGCCCCCCTCCGCCCCAGTTGTGCGTGTCGTGTTCCGCGCCAGGACCGGCACGCCGGGGCTCTACCTACTCACGCCCCTGCTGGCGCCGCCAAAGGGGGACCAGGCGCAGCCGCAGGTGGCGCTCGGAGGGGGATGGGGGGCAGCCGGCGGCGCTTTCTGCTCCAGCTTGCGTTTGCTTGAGGTTGTTGTTTCTGATCTGGCCGGGCTGCTGCAGCATGAGGCCCGTGCTGAACACGGCGAAGAGGGGCAGGCTCAGGCCAGGCAAGGCTGGCATGAGTTCGCTGTTGAAAATGGATGGGGACACCAGCCAGCAACGCCTCCACACTGCTACGCCCCGCGCCCACCCCACCACCCCCGCCAGGCGGGATTGCAGCCCTGCACGCCTCCCCCGTGACCCCGCCCGCCCTGCTGTCTCCCTCTCGCGACTCCCAACTCTGCCGTTGCTCAACTGCCTCCAAGTGTGCCCCATGACCCTTTCTCCTCAACCGCTGCCCTCGCCTCTCCTCCCCCACCCCCAAATCAATAGTTTGACTGCCTGGTCATGAACCGGCTGCCGTTTGAGCAGGACTTCCGGGCCACATGGCTGCCCTCCCTGGAGCCAGACGTCCGCAAAGAGGTGAGGGCCAGGACGAGAAGGGACTGCGGATGCCTGGGTCTATGTATGTGCGGGTGCGGGTGCGGGTGTGTGTTTATGCGTGTGCATGTGTGTGTTGATGTGTGTGTCTTTGCGCGCTCGCGGGCACACGTGCAAGTGCGCAGGGCTCGTCGTGTGCACAGAATGTGCGACGATTCTGCAGAAAGTGTGTCACGGCGTTGACGCGCCCAGTGTCTTGTCTTAGAGGAGGGCTGCTCACACGCACACAGTCCAGTGATCATGGTCACAAGCAAGTGCCCACATGAATACATACACACGCTCCGTCCCGAGTGCACGCAATCGCCCCCGCAAACACACACACATAGACGCACACACGCACACACAGACAAACATACACACACACCACATTCACACACACAAACACACACACACACACACACGTGTTGAATCCTCTCCGCACCAACCTTCCCAGGCACTCCCCCACGCCTGAACCCCCGACGCCCCCACCCCCACCCCCCAGGTCCAGCCCAGCCCCGAGCAGCAGGCCGCCATGAGGGCGGTGGTGGAGGGCCTCGACCTGATGGCCGCGGGGCCAGGGGGCCGCGAGGCGCTGCGGCCGGAGGACGTCGTCAGCCCGGTGCAGCAGAGGCTGTACCAGCTGGTCGGCCGCAAGGCCCTGGACCAGGGCTACAAGGTGGGGGGGCAAGGGGGGAGGGGAGCGCGTGTGTGTGCGTGTGTGTGTGTGTGTGTATGTCGCTGGCCTGTTTCCGGGCGGCTTTTCGGGACGGCTCGATGTGGAACCGCGCCTGCCGTCGCGCCGGCCGTCGGCCGGGCCTACCGCCCAGATCTGGCCTCTCACGTCTGCCCTGGAGTGGGCAAGCCACCCTTTGTCTGCAGCTGCCACGGCCCAGCCCGGCCGCGGCATCGAGTCGTCCCAGCACACCACCATCACCAGCTCACCAAAAATCGCGCTGATGCATCCCCCAGTTCCCCAAGGACGAGGGCGAGGCGCTGACGTCAGCGGTGTGCGACCCCCCTCTGGAGCGGTTTCCCGCCAAGGCGCGCGCCGCGCTGGAGAAGCTGCCGAAGCTCTTCAAAACGCAGGTCTGCCAGGCGGACGGCGGCGGTTCTTTCACTGTGTATGGGGAGATCTTGCACGGCGTTTCAGGTCTAGCCGCACGTCCATCCCCCTGAAACGCCTGCTCGCGCCGCCCTCGTGCGTTGCCTGGCGGTGCAGGCACCCCGGTCGAAGCAGGCGGGCCTGGACGCCGCGGCGGCGGCTGCTGCCGCAGCGGCGGCGGGCACGGCGGCAGCGGGGGCCGGCGGTGCGGGGGAGGAGGGTGT